GCCCAGCTAATATTTTGTATTTTTAGTAGAGATGGGTTTCACCAGGTTGGCCAGGCTGGTCTCAAACTCCTGACCTCAGGTGATCCACCGACCTCGGCCTCCCAAAGTTAGATATGTGTGCGTGTGTGTGTGTATACATATATAATATTATATATAATTTTGAGATAGAGTCTTGCTGTGTTGCCCAGGCTGGAGTGCAGTGGCACAAACACATCACTGCAGCCTCAACTCCCAGGCTCAAGCAATCCTCCTGCCTCAGCATCCAAAGTAGCTGGGACTACAGGCGCCTGCCACCACATCTGGCTAATTTCTGTATTTTTTGTAGAGATGAGGGCTTGCTGTATTACCCAGGCTGGTCTCAAACTCAAGTGATCCCCCTGCCTTGGTCCCCCAAAGTGCCGGGGTTACGGACATGTGCCATGATGCCCAGCTCGTTTGGGGATTTTATGGAGGGTCCAATATGTAGACCCGATTAAGTCACTGGCTATCAGTTATTGAACTCGAGCTCCAGCCCCTCTTCCTTCCTGGGAGGTTGCGCTGGAGCTGAAAGTCCCAATCCGCTAATCTCCTGGTTGGTTCCCTGGCAACCAGCTCCAGCAAGAAGCTATCGAGGGCCCCTCCCCTGGCCCCCAGTCATCTCATCATACAAAAGCCAGTCATTACCCTGACAGTCCACAGCTATTGAAGCCCTTGGGGCAAGAACTAGAAAATGGCTGCATGCAGTGACTCACCCCTGTGATCCCAGCACTTTGGGAGGCCAAGGCGGGCGAATCACTTGAGGTCAGGAGTTCGAGACCAGCATGGACAAGTTGGTGAAACCCTGTCTCTACTAAAAATACAAAAATTAGCCAGGCGTGGTGGTGCATGCTTCTAATCCCAGCTACTCGGGAGGCTGAGGCAAGAGAATCACTTGAACCCAGGAGGCAGTGGCGGCAGTGAGCTGAGATCACACCACTCCACTCCAGCCTGGGCGACAGTGAGACCCTGTCTAAAAAAAAAATAAAAAACTAGAAACTAAGACCAAATATTAGAACCAAAGATGCTCCCATTACCCCATTTACTCAGGAAGTTACAAAGGCTTCAGGTGCTCTGCCAGGAACAGAGACCAAATACTCATTCCTTTTTATGTCAAAGACGCCCTTAGGAAATTATAGGCTTGTCCGGAAAGCACTTGGTCCTGATGCATTCTGGCAGCTACAGAACACAGGATGGAGAGCGAGCAGCTCGGGAAGGAGAGGAGGGACCTCGTAAGTTACCTTGCTTCCAGTTCATCATCTTCCATCTTCCGCTGCTGGGCCCGTGCTGTGCTGCGTAACCTCTCTTCCCTTATTTTCTCCTTGATAGCTTCTTCACGTTTATACGCGTGAAAGAGCGTGTTCACAAAGAAGACGTACGTACTACTGACCCATGTGTTGAACTCTTCCTTTTAATCATCCTTGGGTCTCTCGTATTTCTCTGGAATAGAGTTTCATGAAGCTGAACATGAATGCAATCCTGCTGTAAACTGGGAGTCTGCGTGCTTTTTCTCGTTCTGGCCTCCCTGCGGTGGGCCCCCTGCTCCTCGGCCAGGAGAAGGGAGAGGAGAAAGGACGCTGCTCCCATGACTGCCTGGAACAAGGCAGGGGCTCAGTAGACCCTGGCTGGGATTATCAACCTTCCCTTTGAGTTTCCTGCTGCCTTGGTTTTTTTTGGAGACAGAGTCTCACTCTGTCGCCCAGGCTGGAGTGCAGTGGCATGATTTCAGCTCACTGCAACCTCCACCTCCTGAGTTCAAGTGATTCTCATGCCTCAGCCTCCCGAGCTCCCGAGTAGCTACAGGCATGCGCCATCACACTCGGCTGATACTTGTATTTATAGCAGAGATGGGGTTTCACCATGTTGGCCTGGCAGGTCTGGAACTCTTAACCTCAGGTGATCCACCCACCTCAGCCTCCCAGAGTGCTGGGATTACAGGCATGAGCCACTGTACCTGGCCACCTCTTTTTTTTTCTAAATATCTTAAGAATGTGGGTTTTCTGATATTTTAATTTTCCATGTTTTCAAGAATAATAAATCCTTGTTTCTTGCTTTTTTTTTTTTTTTTTTTTTTTTTTGGAGACAAGGTCTCACTCTGTTGCCCAGGCTGGAGTACAGTGGCATGACCATGGCTCACTGAAGCCTGGAGGAACTCCTGGGCTCAAGTGATCCTCCCATCTTAGCCTCCCTGACAGCTGAGAAGAGAGCAATGCGCCACACACAAGGCTAATTTTTTTAGTTGTGAGACAAGATCTCGCTCTGTCATCCAGGCTGCAGTGCAGGGGCACCATCATGGCTCACTGCAGCCTCCAACTCCTGGGCTCAGATGATCCTCCCACCTCAGCCTCCCAAGTAGCTGGGACCACAGGCGGGTGCCACCACGCCCAGCTAATCATTGTTTTTGTTGTAGAGACAAGGTTTCGCTATGTTGCCCGTGGCCTCAAATTCCTGAGCTCTAGTGATCCTCCCGTCTTGGCCTCCCAAAGTGCTGGGATTGCAGGCGTGACCCACCGCACCGGGCCTAGGTCTTGGGGACAAACTATTCGACATCTTGTATTTATTCAGAGTTTGAAACCCCTTTAAGACAAGGATAGCTGTGTACCTGAGTGAATCCTCTCTCCTGGAGAACTAGACAACCGGTCACTCTCGCAAAAGGAAGTTCCTAGTAGTTACAGTTACCCCTCTCTATCTTTCTTGTCTAGGCTAAAGAATCTCTAAATCTTAAACTACCACAATGTTTTCCATCTTTTTAAGCAATTCCAGTTATCCAGGTTACTTGGAAGATTTTAAAATTCAGAAAATCAAATTATATGCAATCCAGGACTCTAAGGTAGGAACAAGACTGAGTGTGAAGGAAGATTCCTTTTTTTCGCTTGGAGACAGGGTCTCGCTCTGGCACCCAGGCTGGAGTGCAGTGGTGCAATCATGGCTCACTGCAGCCTCAAGCTCCTGAGTCAATCCTGCCTCAGGCTCCCAAGCTGCTGGGAGTACAGGAGTGTGCCACCATACCTGGTGAATTCTGCTTTTTTTTGTAGAGACAGGGGCTTGCTATGTTGCCCAGGCTGGTCTCAGACTCCTGGGCACAAGTGATCCTCCTGCCGTGGCCTCTCAGAGTTCTGGGCTTACAGCTGTGAGCCACTGCACCTGGCGGCAACATTGTCTTATGTTCATTCATGAACTCTCAACTAGAAACCTACAAGCTGGAGGACAGTAAGTCACGGCTGCCACATGCAACAATCAGATGAAATGGTACTGGAAGAGATGCCACGTGGGTCAAGGGGGTCCTCGACAGGAGAAAGGGCAGGAGCCACAGGCTTGGTGAATGGCACACCAGACTTAAGGAATGACCAGAGAGATCCAGGGCAAAATCCAGCTGGAGCTGGGACTAGAGATAATCAGATCAACAGGAAAGCACATTAGCTGGGGTTCCACTTCCAGTTCTAGTTCTGTTCCAGGAACTGCGTATCTTGTTACGGCACTGCAGGAACGCCCTGTCTCTGCTGGGATGCCAAGCTCTGCGGGAGAAAATGACAACCCACAGATTCGCGCCAGATGGAGAAGAAACCAAAGACATCGAGGGGTCGCAGAGGCCGAACGCGAAGAGTGTTTCAAGAAGCTGACGGTTTTCCTGACTATGGAGAGATAGGTTCAAGGGACGGCAGGATTCCTGGGGGTGGCAACATGGAGGCACTGCTGATGAAGAGGGGCCTTCAGTGGCCTGGGGAGGGCAGTCCCACGTGGAGCAAGCTAAGAAGACACAGGAGAGGTCCCGGAGAAGGCGTTGCATGTATACAGCTCCCTAAGATGCATCAGCAAAGGGAGCAGGGAAGGAAAGTGGGATCTAGAGGGGAAGGTGAGGGAAGAGATTTTCCTTTCCTTTTTTTTTTTTTTTTTTTTTTTGAGACGGAGTCTCACTCTGTCGCCCAGGCTGGAGGGCAGTGGCGTGGTCTCAGCTCACTCTGTCACCCAGGCTGGAGTGCACTGGCGTGGTCTCGGCTCACTCTGTTGCCCAGGCTGGAGGGCAGCGGCATGGTCTCAGCTCACTCTGTCGCCCAGGCTGGAGGGGAGTGGCGTGGTCTCAGCTCACTGCAACCTCTGCCTCTGGGGTTCAAGCAGTTCTCCCACCTCAGCCCTGAGTAGCTGGGACTACAGGCGAGCGCCACCACACCCGGCTAGTTTTTTTATTTTTAGTAGAGATGGAGTTTCACTATGTTGGCCGTGCTG